TTTCTGCCTGAGGACCTTCTGTATCTTAGTCCTCAGTCAGTTGGTGCTTGGGTTGTGATCAACATCCACACTCATGGTTTACACTCAGTGCAGTAAGATGACTTGGCAACATTCAAGATGTGCAAGTGATACTCAAAGCTTCACAACATCTCAAAAAGAGATCTGCCTCAATGGCTTCCAGATAACCCAAAGCTCATCCAAACAGCAATAAAAGCCCCAGCTGGTGTATCTCAAATAAATGAGCGAGTTCATCTTGAACCCCCAGAGGCAAAACGCTTGCATAAATCAAGGATGTCTGCGTGATTGAATTCAGTGGGGCAGGGTAGAATAAAAACCATTGGCAAGAAAATATTGGAACATTATATACAGTAAGTTAAAAAAAAATAGATGGAGGATTGCCAAGGGTTAACCCTGGATGTTCCCAGCATCATCCATGAAATAGAACAGTGTTTCCAACCGGTGGCCCGTGGACCTGCGGCAGTATGCAGAAGTTTTTTTTTGCCAGTCCCCAAGAAATTTTTAGCATATTAAATTTAACCAAAAGTAGGGATGAAGTCTGTTATCTTTACTTGAAATTTTGGAGGGACAATGGCAGTTGAAGTTATCTGCTGAAAATAAAAGGTGGCTTATCTCCTCTTATTACAGCACTTCAGATAATTTTAACCTGCTGCCATATAAAATTTTAATTTTTTGCTCTGAGAAGCCTTTTTTCAATCTCATCTTTTCCAGTTTGTTGATGACATTCAGCTTTAGCTGCTTCAGTGCTACTGAACTCAGTTGTTGCAGAGAAAAAAAACATATACTTTTAAATACCTTCCAGGAAGTATTTCAAGCTAAACTTTTGGGTCTGCAACATTTTTAAAAAACTTTTCTGGTCCACAGGAAGTTTTGGGAATTTTCCAGTCTGCAAAATATTTTATTGAAATTTGCTGGTCCACAGGCCCAAAAATGTTGAGGAATAAATGTTTTTCAGATGCTTCTTGCATTATTGAATTTTACCCAGCTGTGAGAATATCTTGAGAAAGTTTCTGTTTTTTTTGCTCAATTATTTCAACAGGTTTTCTTGTCTTTTTTGTAAAAAATCTGCCAAAAATATTCAGAATTTTTTTTAAATCTCAGAAACAGCATTTTCTTCAGGGTGGCATTTATTAGAATAATAATTCATCTTAATTTACCTGCCATTCATCTGAATAAAAATGAATGCTCCAATTCACATTTCACTCACAAGATTCAAATTATGGCTACATAATGAGGGCTGAATTTTCCCCCCAGACATTTCATCCTAATCAATGCAGTTAAAATGAGATGGGACTTGCCCTGCACCCCATTTGGGGATAAAAAAAATATAATTTAGAATACAGCATTTAAAAAAAGCTTGACTTTAAAATTGAAATAAATATATTTACAGCCTGTGTATTGGATGTTTACTGTATAAAGTGGAGCAGGCAAAAACAAGTTTGGGGGGTGTTTGGCAGTTGATGGGTTAATATGAGAAGTATATACTTTTGGCTCCCCAACAATGAACAAATTTTTAGAGAGTTGAAAGGGTATAATTGACTAATGATGCGGAAACTTTGGGGAATAATAGTGGCATTTATTGGAGTGTCTGTAGTAGTGATGGCAGAGCACGAAGGTAAGAGTGGCACTTGCCAGTCTGAAGTCTGAACAACCTGCGGTTTGATCAAGTGCTGCATATTTTTCGCAGACAGGCACAAGACCGTTCGTAGGTACTTCCTACTCTATACCTTCTGGTAGTGTAGCGCCTCTTTAACGCGCTTTCGCTTTTTGCAGCAACAAAAGTAGCCGCTGCCTTACCCCTAAGGTCAGTAGTGCCGTCGCGGGATTCTGAAAGGGCAGAAAGGGCCCTTTTGTCCTCTCCTCTGTAAGGACTTGAAACTTTCTAAAGGGATGTGCCCCGAGTACGCCCATACTCTTCTATAAAGTTATGTCATGAGGGATGTCAACACTGTGAGAAATAAGAGTGTCGGCCAAAGCCAGGGTCACAAATGAAAAATAAATAAAGTAAACATACCATATGATCAGTTTTGAGACTTTTTTTTTAGATAGATCCAATGGAGTGGTTACAATTCCAATTATTTTTTTACTTGGATAACCCCCTGATTTGGCAACACTTTAGCACTGTTTAACATGCTCTCTGTCAAATAAAATACATTTCATTCATGCTCTTGTCTTAAATGTGCATGAACAAATACAAATTCTTGGTCTTTCAATTGCTAGATGGTCAAACTTGTTTCTTTGCAGATGTATGTTCAACCAACTTGGAGACTTGTGTCTCAGACATTTAAATTGTTTTCCACAAGCTTTCAAAACATACAAAGAAGGCTCCAATGTGAGACTTTGATGAATGTCCTTTATCACCTTGTATACACTCAGCAATATTAGATAGTATGTTGCAGAGCTGAGTGACAACAAGAAGGTTTTGCAGCAAAGTCTGGTGACAGTAAGCTTGCTTCAGCATGGGAAACACCTCCCAGCAAATAATAAATTGTTATCCAAAAACTATTTTACGAAAGTTGGTGATCAACGATGATCAGTCATTGAGAACTACTTTCTAATAATTAATGAAAAAGAGGATCGGAGATTTAATTCGTTTTCCGCGACTTTTGAAGGAAACGCAAAAGTTACTCCGTGAGAGTATTCAAAATGTTTATTTATTTATCTTCACACACAGTCGATACAATAATATTCTAGCGAGAGCGAAGCGACGCAGATTCGGCGTTCGGACAGTGTCTGGTGCGGTAAACTTAACTCAACATAAAATGCACCTGTATATATAGCTTCGGCCGGCCGAGGTCGAGGAACGCGCATAGAAACCGATTCGGATCGGGGACATCATGCTTCGTTTGTTCCAAAGGAAGGAAGCGTGAGCGCGGTCGGGAAAGTATTCCGTCAACAACGGGATTGTGAAATATAATTGCTAGCGCACCAGGCGCAGCCAAGCGTAGCGGAAATACATTAGCTTAAAAGGGTCGTGCGTAAAGTGAAGGGTGTTGTGGTCGTTAATATGACTACAAATCTCCCCTGGTAAACGAGAAAAAGCTCCTGCGTACACAAGTGTCAAAAGTGTTTCAGTCAGCGGGAAAAAGGATCGAAATTTTCGTTCGATTCCCACACCTCCCCTGATCACGTCTCAGCCATGCTGAAAGACGTTACACAGGAAAACGTTCTCATGGGGGGCAATAAGAATGGTAATAATAACCATATCTGCCTCCCCTCAACTCCTTCAAGTTCACCAGGAAGCTGCAGAGGTCTGGCATGCCAATGCCTGATTCCTCAGTTCACCTTACACCCCCTTTCAGGTATGTGCTCCTGACCCCCTTAAGCCTTTAATTAAAAACTGCTAAGTTTAAAATCCGCTTGTTTTGCGTGTTTTTTGCTTGATCCTACTTTTGAGTGTTCTTACAACACATTCCCATTGTTTTCGGGTGTCTTTCATTCGGTAAAAAGGGTGAATTTTGCGCATTTTGTCCGCGAATTTTGTTCACAAGATATGCCAAAACGATCAATTTTTGCGCGAAACCGCGACGTAAATGAAAAAAGTAAACGGTTCGTTTGGTTACAGGTCACGTGAGTAAGGTCTCCAGCAAATTTTGGCAAATTTCACCGTTTGGTTTCCAAGATTTCAACAAAAAGGTATTTTCCCTTAGACCCTTTAACAAAATCGGATCAGATCTGATCCAAGTGCATCTTTCTAACTTTTTCAGTTTTTCATTCGAAAATGGTGTGTTTTGCGGTGTCGTTGCTGTTGGTATTGCTGGTGGTGCATCCTGATGAGTCATCCGGCAGGTGCGTGATCCAAGATGGCCGCCTACATTGTACGGAAGCGTGTGATGCGGACGCGGTTCTAGCGTCCGAATTCGATGGCAGGATAGTGTTGACTGGTCCTGTCTTGGACTTTGGCTGCTTGAGCTTTTTTGGCATCAAGGTTTGTTGAGAAGAAAGGGGTCCTTTAGAGCGTTTTGCTTCAGTTTTTTCGTTTGTATGTGATTAGGTCGTCGAGTTGCTGAAACCGACTCGATGTGAAGGAGCCTTTATAGCCTCTGCTGTTGATCCGGTGGACTTGTGCGTCGGGTATGTGTCGGGAACAGATTCGACGGAAGTTGTTTCAACATCAGCAACTTCTACGGTAACATCGACGTCGGTTGCTGCAACTGCGGTGGCGCCTGCAGTGGCGACATCTCTGCCGCGTTTGAGCTCATCTGCCTTGGCGTCGTTGCCTACTGCGGAGTCAATCACTCCGACAGTGACTGCTGCCTCTCCGTCAACGTCTACAATGAAAATGGAAACTACGACCATCCCTCGTAAGGGGTTACCGACTTCTCTGAAAGTTACGTAAACTGATTTTATCCCTTTTTGTAATCAAAAAATAGCAACCAAACCGTCTATCTTGATGTCCGTCCTAAAAAATCTGTCGGATGTGCCAGAGACAACGCTTTTCACTGGGGAACGTGCAAACGTTACTCTAACGGTTGTGGAAGGGAGAGCTGTTTTGGGTGCCAAATTCTCTACAGAAGTCCTTTCAAAATGGGCTGTCGGACTAATCAGCGGCTTAAGCTTGACGGTTTTTGGCCTGGCTTTTGGGTGGTTGGCCCATTGTCTGAGGAAGAAGGTACTTCCTACTTTTTTCTTAGCACCGCTTTTTGTTGTTAAAACACGTTCTTTGCATGTTGTCTTTTCTTTTTTAATTCTGCTGATGACTAACAGTACTGCCCAAAACCACGTCAAATTAAAACTAAAACTGAAGTTGAAGAGATCGAAATGACTGATCTAACTCCCAAACCGTTTGTGCATGAATCCACCATAAATGAAGTTCAAGATGGTTTTGCAACCATAAGGTCACGTATACCACGCATGACCACTTTTAAACCAAGTAAGACTTAGCTTGTTGATGCTTTTGTGGAGTTGCATGACTGCATGGCTTTCTTGGGTGTTTCCTTTTGTCTTTTGTCTTCAGCCTTGGTTGCAGCCATTCCTGAGGTTGGTGGGGTCCCTCCTGCTTGCTGTATTGTTCGCCCGCGGGGGCGTTGCCCACTTTCTCTGTCTCTTTCGCGATGAGATCCCTGGAAATATATGGCAACAAATCCGTTCTCTTGAACGCGGGTGACAGATATGCACATAGTTTCTTATTCTTCTCTGGTGGGAACCTGCTTAGAGCATCCGCGTGTGGAATGCTCAGCCCTCTTTTGTATTCGACGGTGTATTCATATTTGTTAAGGGCCATGAACCATCCGATTGCTCTCTTGCTGTCGCTGTTCTTTTGTTGAGCCAAATAGGGGATCGCGATATGGTCCGTTCTGATTTTAAATTTGTGTCCCCACAGGTATGACCTGAATTGGGACACTGCATAATATACAGCTAGGAGTTCTCTATCGGTGTTTGAATATCTCGACTGGGCACCATTCAGAGTTCTTGATGCGCATCCTATAAGGACTTCTTTTTTGTCCTTTTTCTGAGTCAGGATTGCGCCGATTGCATGTCCTGATGCGTCTGTTGTTAGTATAAATTCTTTGTCAAAATCTGGGAAGGACAGGATTGGAGCGTCTAAAAGACATTGCGTTAAGCATTTCTTTGCTTCTTCTTGCTCTTTTCCCTAACTGAACTCCGTGTCCTTCTTTAGTAGGTTATATAAGGGTCTCGCTTTTGTTGCAAAATCCTTAATTTAAGATCTAAAATAACCTACCAAACCAAGAAAAGCTTGTACGCCTTTGATATTTTTTGGCGTAGGGAAATTTTGGACGGCATCTGTTTTAACAGGATTTACTTTAATACCCTTGTTACTAATTAAAAATCCAAGATACTCAATCTGTGTCTTAAACAGTTGAGACTTTGAAAATTTTATCTTTAAGCCGGATTTATTTAGTCTACAGAGGATATCTTCCAGATGGGCTACGTGTTGTTTGGCTGTTTTGGAGTAGATCACTATGTTTTCCACATAAATGTACGCATATGATCCTAAACATCCATCCAACACAAGATGCATTAAACGCTGGAAAATACTAGGACTATTTTTCAAGCCCATGGGCAACCTTACGAACTCGTAATGGCCCATGGGAGTGGAAAAAGCGGTTTTCCATCTCTCGTCTTCTCTAATCTTAATATTGTAAAATCCGTGCAATAAATCGAGGGCAGAGAAAAACTTTGCC